CATTCGTGAAAAGGTGGAAGAAGGGACAATAGATATGCAGAAGATCCATACCAAAGACAACATAGCAGATTTCATGACGAAGACGATCAACACTGATAAATTTACTTGGTGTCGATCCTCCTGTGGTCTGTCAGAAACATAAGCAATATGAAGGTACAAGGTAAAAAGAATGATGTGAAGATATGATTGTTCCAATCAAATCTTCAAGTGGAAGATTGTTGAAAAATAAGCAAATCCACCGGCATATTTTAGTCAAAAAGGGATGAAAATTTTTGTTTAAATATTAAATGGGATAATTCAATTTAGTCACTAAACTTTAGGGTATTTATAAATTAGTCTTTATGTTTCAACTATAAATACCCTAGCTCATTTAGCTTCAAAATCATCCCAAAGCATTCTAGCTTTCTTCCAATACTAGAGAGAATTTAGAGAGTTTCTTGAGAGTTGTTTTCTCATTTTTATCAAGAGAGAATTATCATTATTTTCTCCTTGGTAGATCGAGAGAGATTATAATTCATATTTTCTCATAGTGAAATTCTTCTACCGTTGCCCGGGGTTTTTACCCTATATTATTTAAGGATTTTTCACGTAAATTTTGTGTCTTCTTTATCTTCATTTTTATTTTCTTAAATTATCAGTTACAATTTTGTTCTATCCGATAGCCGTCTTTCACAACAATCAAATGCATCAAGTTCGGATAAATTCGGATGTTTTGACCATCCCTATAGGTACCTTTGCCAATGTTCATACAATATCAAGGAAAAGGTCAAAAAAGTAGGACTTTCATTCGATTGTCATGGTTTTAAGCTTTCAATTCCCAATTCATATATCCGAAATCAGATTCAAGTTTGAATAAGAAACAACTGTAGCTTTGAATGAATCTAACAAGATTGATATCTGACAACAACTTCTGAATCAAAATGGTGTTTCAGAGAAGATGTAAGCCATCAAATGCCAATGAAAATATGGTATTTGCAAATACATTGCAGACATAGGAAGGTACCAACATCAGGACGTTTTTCCATTCCGTTACCGGACAAGATTTTCATGCTCTCGAGTAGAATAGGATATACGACTCCCTGATTCACCGACGATAATGGTACAGCCGAACAAGCAATCATCACAATGTCTCCATGTCTCAGGAGGAAAAGAAAAACTAGTTCTTTATTTTTGAAAAAGAGGAATCGACACTGGTTTGAGTTGGTCTTGAAGCCAAAAACGTAATCTACAGTGCTGTTGGTATATTTACAGACACTAAATAACCACCACGGGCCAAAGGCTTGAACCTATTTTCACCAATAAAGCAGAGCAAGCACGACAAAGAAACCAATCAACAAAAGAAGATTCTTCAATACATTATCTGCCTGCTGCCCTCCGGTCGTCGGTGGGGGGAACCCATGAGCATGAGCATGAGCATGTCCACCATGAAACGTATGTAATCCATAAGGAAATCCTGGAGGCGCTCCATACACAGCAGGATCTGGGTATCCATGAAACTGAATACTGAACAAGGATGGCAATAAGCCTCCAAAACCCATTGTGAAGTTACCGATTCTTGCAGTTGCCATCGGAACAAAACCGCCCATTAGTCCAAACCCGTAATTGACAAACTGGTTTGTAACCGGGGGTGGAGGAGCAGCAGTTGTTGGTCTTTGTCCTGCTGGGCGGTTAGGAATTTCCATGCCCGGGTACGATTTAGAGCGGGGATCGGTCTGGTTTTTGCCCCTGCCATAAAGGGGAACAAGTTTTTCCTCTTGTATGAGGGCCTTGCAAACAGGGCATTCTTGACACTGAGAGTGATGGTGCAACCACCTGTATAGACATGGCCAACAGAAGAGATGGCCACAAAGTGTGACAATTGGATCTTGAGCCAATTCAAAGCAGATATTGCATTCGAAGTCACCAGCATCATTAGCATTACTACTACTCGAGCAAGATCGACTTGGGGGAGGCATGCTTGTTGATTCCCCAAAACCATTCTCCATTGCTTTTATACCTAAACCAATAGATCAAAATATCATGAGGAAAATGCACGAATTGGAAGGGCAAAAAATTATAAAAAATCTAGAAATTCAAGTTATGGAATTAAAAAGAAAAAAAAGCCAGTACCCAATTTTTGAAAAGATCACCACAAACCTGATAGAACTCTAAAAAATCAAATCTTTCGAATTCATCAAATTATCCCCATAAACAATACTAATCATTAACAACTCTCAACAGTTTATTAGATTTAGGTATAAAAAAACCCAAATCTATAATCAGAATACAAATCAAATTTAAAAAAAAACCCAAAAAAATCAATAAACACAACCGCATCTGCATTCATCACAAAGTATAATCTTACAAAAGTATAAATTAAAAGGAAAACGAAACAGATCTAAGAATTGGGTAAAAGAATCTAACCTGAGAATCCAAAGATTTGATTGGTAGAGTCGGGGGGCATGTTTCTTAAATGGGTGTTAGGTAGTTTCTGGAAGATTCGAGGTTACTCGAAAATTTCCGTGTTGTTTATTCCAAGTCTAAGCCAATTTAGAGAGGGAATTGAAGATTCTTTATATATATAGTGAACTTAAAAAACAGTGGGGTCCCATCGTATTTCACAGAAATTTTCACTCGGAAATTGGAAGCGAAACTCCCCGAATTTAATTATTTTATAATTTTTAGGGTAAACTGCGTATTTAGTAATTAAATTATCACTTTTAATCTATTTTAATACCTAAATTTTTAATTTTTTAAAATCATACCTAACGTTTAAATTTTATTTCATTTTAGTATTCATCGTTAAAAACTTAATGCGTTTAGTGCCTAAACTATCAATTGTGATATGTTTTAGTATCTATAATTCATTTTTTCAAAAATTAACATTACATTTTGAACTGATATACTAAAGAGAAACAAAAACTAAACTTTATATATAATTTTAAAAAAATTGAAAGTTTATGTGCTAAAACATACTAAAAATGATAGTTTATGTACTAAATATATAATTAATTCTAATTTTAAAGTAAATTTATTGAAAACTATATATTAAGGGTATTTACAACATTTATACCCATTCATCTATAATCACTTAATAAATATCTTTTTTAATACTTTCTAAGTCCAATTAAATTTATATTTTTTGAGTTTTAAATTTATTTCATTTAAAATGTTCTATTAGAAAAATCAACAAATAACAATACTTATATTTCTTTTTTACTTTGAATCTTTTATACATATAAAAACAAATCTGATAATAATTTAGTTTTATTTTTATCCTAAATTTTAATCTGAATTAATTTAAATTTAATAAATGCTTAACGTACTATGTATATATAGAGAAATATTAATTTATGTACGCTCCTCATTATCTGCTGCAGTTACATTCTCTCTTGTACTTTTTTAAGTTTTTTTTTATGGCAGGTGTGGTGGTCTTTCCTGGCTACGGTCTTTCTCTAGTAAAGGGTATCATGGTTATCAGTGTTTTCGAACTCTCGATACATGTTTTTTTATTAGTTTTCTTCTTCTTTTTTTTGAATACATAGTTGTTGCTTTCTCGTAACATGGTTCCTCTATTTGTTTGTACAATACAGTTCGTTGATTATCACATATATGTGTTGGAAGAGATTGTTGTTAAAGAGATCGTTTTGTCTGTTGGCTTTTTTGGTTCTTCTTTAAGTTTCTCTACTCTATATTTGTTGCTCGGAGTCGTTGGTGTGTTCATTTTATATATGTCGTTACTTCACTTATTAGTGGTTTTGTTTATATACTATCTCTAAGTAATCATTGTTATATTTTATTTTCGATAGTCTCATTTGTATTTATTCAGTTATAATTAATAAGACGTTTATTGATACGATTTTTTATAAATAAAGTTATTTAAAAACGGGGACCGTAGAGAGCGGCTCTCTCCCTTTCCTAACTTTTTTACTACGTGGCATTTATCTTGTCCTGTCCCCTGAGCATTTATTTGCTAATTTAATTCGTTTGATTGTTTCACTATAATTATTGTTATTATCGGGCGTTGTTTGTTTTTATTACTAATATTATTATTACTTCATTACTTTTTTATAAAGGGCATATATATTGTAAGTATAAATAATAGAAGTTAATGTTTAACAGTTTTTCTTATCATTACATTTGCATGATAAATTTTATTATTTTGCAAGTAATGTAATTGGTTGACATCGCAATTAATTATGTTGCATGTATTTACAATAAAATAATATATATTTTTTAAAATAGTATTTTTTTGTCAATTAAAGTTTAGGTTAGGGGTGACTCCTTCAATCTAGGGTCAAGACATACTTAAGACCCAACTGAAATTTACATACGAATTTACAGATTACCCACCAAGATTGATAGTGGTAAGATTCGAAATTGGCCTTACAAACTCAAATTCATAAATCTCTATCACTTGTGCCAACACTTGTTGGCAAAAAAAATAGCATAATTCTAATACTTTTATATTAATATAGTTAATAAGTCTTCAAAATCATATAAATACAATCCTATTAACTGTTCTTCATGGATTAATATGTTCTCTAAATCCAAGTGGACTATAACTGTTCTTTCCCCCTTAAAAAAATATGATAAAATCATTTTTTTTCGTTTTCAGTATAGTCGATCCAATTAATAAAACTTGCATTTCTTCATGTGATTCTATTAGTTGATTCAAGTAATGATTGGATCAAACATTTTACTTGTGAAGATGGAGATTTTTAGGGGGAAAAAGAAAAGAAAGACGAAGATTAAAGTTATAGATTGTTCATTAAAAATAACAACTAATCAATATCTTAATGAGGTGTGAAGAAAAGAGGAATGAAATGAGCTTCAGTTAAAAAATATAAAGGTGTTAATATGAGTAAATTAATTTGTTAATAAAAAAATTGAATAATATAATTAGATTAGATTAAAATTTCATAATATTCATTTAAATTGTTACCAATATCTAAAATTCTAAATATATGTTTCCAAACAACCATATATGTTGTTTAAAAGCACAACTAGTTTTTTTTTTTAATAATATAAGGTGCTTACAAGATAATATCCATTAATATTTTTTTTAATCATTGACAACGCAGATCCTACAAACACGGCTGCTCAAACCCAAGTTTTCTGGAGAGAACAACACTCCTTTTGACCACGGAAGAAGACTAAAGCAAAAAAACCATCACAAGTGAGAGTACCCAAATCTTGAAAGCATGGAAAGCTTTCACTTGGTCTAACTGGAGGGCCTAAACAATAGAGAAGAAAGTCGAAATGAGCAAAAGAGAATGTCTACAGTAAAAAGGTTCGAAGCTAATGCTTCGTTGTTGCAACGCAAAGCTGTGCTGCTTGTCTTAGCAGTTATAATTTGCAGCATTTGCGAGTTGCTTTGCTTTAAGCAAACACAGGTGTAAGATGCAAAGACGAATGTCATGTTCTAAGCCAATGCATAAATTTCTGTCCATCCTAGTTCCATACTAACATTATATACGCCCTCAGTGGCATGTGATAACATTAGGAAAGCTTCGGTAAAGCAAAAATGGAAATGATCTTTCAGAAAAAAATATTCTCAGACATCATGTAAACCATGGAAATTTAAGTGGACTTTGAGCTACCTTGCAAAAACTAGATACACCGTGGGAAATGGGTTTGCCCAACATAGCCACCATGCATAGCCCTTCTCACGTTAGACTCAAACAACTTTGGATTATCCCTCAAAATTGCAGCAGCATCATGATTTAGCGGGTCCTCGTAATTCGGTTCCTTCACAAAAAAATGGTTCGGATATCAGATGGATACAAATGTATAGAGGAGATGGATGCAAATTCAAAGAACTAATGTTTAAAAATATGACGGTTATTACAGTGAAAAGATGATATAATCCATAGATTATGGTGTTTATATTGAGCACGGGTTTCCAGTCTTCACGTAAGATGTTAAGGCAAACATTTCCTTCCAAGTCCATGTTTGGATGGTATATCTGGAAATCAGAGTACAACATGAAACAAGCCAGGTTATAACAAAAGGAAAATGTAAAGCAAGCAGCATGAATTTGGTAAAGAATCAGGGGACCAAGAAGTAAATAAGATGAGCCGGTCTACCTTGGTCTTGCACTTAACTTTCGGCGCCTCGTGCGGATAGACAGGAGAAACTTGGAAGGAGAACAAAAATGTACCACCACTGAGAAAACAGTAGTCAGTTGGGAGATTACTTGTTTGATTTATTAATAACAAAAGAAAAAAAACGAATGTAAAGCAATTGTATGTAAGAAGTAAGAACACTACTTCCTCCCTAAGAACAATTTTAACCAATATATTATGCTCTGGAACAAAATGTAGCTCATTTTAAGAGACAATTCATGAAAGAAATTCCTCACAGATAAAATCCTTCATCGGGTCGAATTGTAACTTCGAAGTTCATCAGGTCATCTTTTCCATTAGGAAATGTTATGGAGCAAGATTTGGGTAGGTTAAGCTCAGAAATGTCTGCAAATTGAATGCAAAATGATATCAAACTTATAAATCTGTAAGTCCTTAATTCGATCCTATATCATACAAATCCTCTTAAAATTCAGTTGCTGCAATGCTAAATCCCATTCAATCCTTAAGAGAGCTAAAGAAGCTTGCAACAAAATCTAAGGATTTTTTTTAAATCAATTTAGTAAACAAGCAAACCTTTGTGTAAACGCAACTCCCCTGCAGTTTGCTTTTTGACAGGTGATCCGCCATTTGAATTTTCAGCAAGTTCTCTCTGCTTTTCTTTAACTTTAAACAATCGAATCATAGCTCCTACAAATAAATACTGAAAACGTTTCGTTTTAATTTACATTGTTGATAGAAGAATTTAGTAACAGATTCAAACCGATAGCTTAGAAAAATTCTCATTCTCAATGAAGTATACAGAAAGCAACAAGCAATTGGATCGGAAACAGGAAATATAGCAGAGTGGTCTCAAAATCTTAGTCGTGACTCAAAGTAGAAAACAAAATTCAAGTTGAGTTTAGGGCTTAGAAAATTACCTGATCTGATTTCCTGGCTTGAAGGCAAGGGAGGGCTTGGGTCAGAACAGAAAGACAGGCTGACACCGAGTGGTGGTGAGACGCGTGTGTGGCTGCGCCGGCGGGGATGAGTGGAAAGATTGATTCCGTGATTTGATTTTCAAATGAAATTTGAGAGAGAGAAAAACTTTTTCATATATAATTTGGTGGGGGTGGGGGGTAACAGTCCGTGATTCCCATTGCAATTGACGGACTGCGAGGAAAGCCCAATCCAGATAATTTTACTGGGATAGAAATTCCACAAGAGTCAATTGTACCGTATTACCTCAAATTATAGGGCTTATTTTTAATTGATTTTTAAAATTTTAAGTATTTTAATTTTATCTCTAACATATTACCCTTATTTTAAGTTAATCTTTAAAACTTTAAATATTTTAATTTTATCCTTAAATTATAACTCTTAAATTATAAGTATATGTTAATCACGTCACATGTTAATAAAACCATTAGGTCAAACTATATTATTATAAGTTTGCAAAAAGTAATTGTATTTGAAATTAATTTCATACTTTGGATAAATTTAGAGATAAAATTAAAACATTAAAAAGTTCGATGATGAATTTAGAATAAATATAATGGTAAAAATGTTCTTAACATTTGATTGAATAATAATTTTGACTTATATTCATTTTTGGAACATTTTGATGATTACATTTAACAATCAATGCTTGTAGTTAGTTACATATGCTCAAAATACTGACATGGTACGTATTATATGTTTAAATTAATGATATGATATATATTATATAATGATTTCGAGTTAGTTTCAAATTTGGGCTCGGGTGTACACAGCTCTAGCTGGTTTTCGAGGTGAGCCATCCGTTTTTTTTCCTTCCAATTTTATTATTACTTTTTTTTCGGCTGATTCAGTGCATCTTTTTATTTGCTTATGGATTTCTCACAGGATTTTGTTTGGAAGTTCTTCTAGTAGAGAGATGGGAAAAAGTTGAAAGGTAGATAAAGATAGGGGTGAACATCCGATTGAGTCGAATCAACAAAATTTGAGTTATTCAAGTTAATGAGTCGTATTTTACGACTTGAATTTACTTTGATGCAGCAATTTGACTTTGCAGCAATTTGATGCGACCCTCTATAAACGCACTAACGATGTCATTGACACACTCGCTGCTCGTTTGGATGCTCGATCCTTATCTTTTTACTCGCTCGAACAGGTTATCGGATGTCTTCTTGAAACCAACGAGGAAGCGGTGAAAATCATTTTGGAACGTCAGAGAGATATATGGAAAAACCCCGACTTGTTTTCTTTGGTTGAGGAACACTTTGAGAACAGTAAAAAGACATTAGAATTTTGCATTGCTTTTGAGAATTGCCTCAAACGTGGTCGAAACAACCAGTTAATTATTCAGTTGGCTGTTAGGTATTTTCATGAATAGGCGGGTTTACAAGTTGGTGATGGTGAGAGGAAATTTGTGAAGACTTTGTAGGAACTAGGGAAATTTAAAGCAGAAGGAATTAATGCTGCATAAATTGCTAGCCCGGAAGAGAAAGCTCGATAAGAAGTTGAAATCTTTGAAAACGTGGAGGAGGGTGTCGAATGTGTTGTTCGTAGCCACTTTCGTTTCGGTTATGATCTTCTCTGTGGGCTGCACCGCCCGTTGTAGCAGCTTTGGCTGCTGCCTTGGCACCTATCTGTTCGGTCGGGAAATCGTGCAACTGGCTTTGGAAGCGACACGAGAACGATCTGAAAGTGCAGAAGGAGTTAATAAACGAAATGTGGATTCGTTCTCACTTCACAATCCATGACTTGGAAAACATAAGAGTGCTTATCAGGAAGCTGGAAATTGAGATGGAATCACTATTGTATGATGCCGGTTTTGCACTTGCAGAAGAAGATGCACTGAAGCTCGCGATCAATGAGATCAAGAGGTAGTCCGAAGCATTTATGACGACCATCGAGGAACTGGGTCAACAGGCCGATACAGTTAGACATAATATTAGGATGGCAAGGACTGGTTTTGAAGAAGATGATGAAAGATTCTGGTAGTTCATCGACTGGTTCCTGCCATTTAGAACTCTAGCAACGACATGTTTTGCTGCGTATTAACTTTATGTAAAATTCCAGTTAATGAAGTTCCACCTCTACGAGTGAGTTGATCTGGACTTGTGTCATATATATCAATTACATTGTTAAATACGAGTGAGTTAATGAATTAACTTTATGTTGCAAAAAGTTGGTAAAGAAACTCGAATTACAAATTTATAATTAAATACTGATTTTATTATTTTTATTAAGATTTGTATTAAAAATAATTATATCTAAAGTAGTTGAGTATTTTTTAAAAAATGTTACTAACAATATATCATTTATATTTAAGATGCATATGAATTAAAGTATTATCCCTCAAAAAGTAATTTATACATTTCACATATTTGTTTTGATAATAGTAAAGGAATAAGGGTAAAAAAAATATAAATATTGTTATTTGTTGATGATATTTTGAATGAAATAATTTTAAAACTCAAAAGCAACATATTTAATTGGACTCGGAAAGTATTAAAAAGATATTTATTAGGTGATTATAGATGAATTGGTATAAATTGTGTAATATCCTCAATATAGTTTTCAATAATTTTATTTAAATATTAGGATTAATTATACATTTAGCACCTAAACTATCATTTTTAGTACCTAAACTTTCAATTTTTTCAAAATTATATTTTTTTTTCAAAAATATATCTAAAGTTTAATTTTTGTTTCATTTTAGTATACTCGTTCAAATTTAATGTTAATTTTTGAAAAACTGAAAGTTTAGGTACTAAAACATATCACAATTGATAGTTTAGGTATTAAACGTGTTAAGTTTTTAACGGCGGGTTACTAAAATGAAACAAAAATTAAATTTTAAATATAATTTTGAAAAAAATTAAAAGTTTAGGTATTAAGACAAATCAAAATTGATAATTTAGGTTTTAAATGTGCAGTTTACCCTAAAAAAATTATAAAATAATTGTGAAGAACAGTTAAGAGATTGTAGTTCTATGATTTTGGAGACTTATCCCATTAACTATATTAATATAATAGTATTATAATTATACTTTTTTTAAAAATATATATATATTATTTTATTGTAAATACATGCACCATAATTAATTGCCATGTCAACCAATTACATTACTTGCAAAATAATAAAAATTAAAATGCAAATGTAATGGTAAGAAAAACTGTTAAACATTAACCGCTATTATTTATACTTACCATATAGGATTATTCTTCTATTGATCAACACTAACGATAAATATCAATAAATTAATTTATAAAATGTTAAAATTATAAAGTACTCAACATATAATTATAAATTAGTTAAAAATTTAAAGAGGAATTATCTAAGGGTAAACTATACAATTGATCACTCAACTATTTAGTCATTTTTACGTTTACTATCAATCTTTAAATTTTGTCAATCAAACCACTTAACTATTTATTTATATTCAGTTAAGCCGCCTTTCGATAATATTTAATAGAAGTATTGACGTGACAGTTAATAAAATTGGTATAATTATATATTTAGTTATCAATATTTATACATTCTATCAATTTGGTCCTAATTCTAATTTAATTCAATAAATTTAATGACACGTGTCAACATCTTATTGAACTTTTTTAGAATTTAAATTTATTTATATTTTGCCACTTAAATTGTGACACGTGTCTACATATGGTTGGATGAAAAAACAATTAGAAAAGCCCAAGCAATGTTGACAGGAGCTAAGAGAATCTGGTTGGATGGAAAAACAATTAGAAAAGCCCAAGCAATGTTAACAGAAGTTAAGGGAATCAAACCCAGGTCCACAGGAATGCAAGCACTGACATTTGCCATTAAACCAACTTGAACAATTGTGTTATACTATACACGATAACATAGAGATTGATAAGCATTGGCATATTAGAACATTTAAGCAAATCTTAAATTTGAATATCAATTGCATATATTTTATAAATTAGTTAGTAGAATATTAAAAAAAATAAAATTTAAGATTTATAAATTAAGCTTAATGTTTATTTTTTAGAGTTATAATTTAATGATTCTATATATAATCATAAATTTAATATTTTAATTTAATTAATAATTGTAAAAATTAAAATTATTAATAAAATTAAAAATATTTAGTTCAAAATTAAAATCAAAATATTACAAAAGTTTAAGCTGACGGGACATTAGAAATCCCGATAATAAAATAAGTTAATTACTTATTTTGTTATTAATATTATCAACATATTAGGTAGCGCCTAAAATGTTACCAAAGTTTAAATTGATGGGGGCATTCGAAATCCCACGACAACAAAATATGTTAATTTCTCATTTTGTTATAAATAAATATTAACATACTAGGTTGCGTCCAATAATGTTATTTTGAATAAAGAAATAGGTTGCAATCCGGAATATTAAAGTTGTGTTTAATGATATTGGTAGGATTTAATATATTATGTATCTTTGTATGACAATTATTTTTAAAATAAATATCGATACTACTATAATCTGATGGTTGATACTTTAGCAAATAGCAATACTTTTAGAGTAAGTATGGATACATTATTATTAACCTTTAGAGTACACATACTTTTAAAGTAAGTTTGAAATGACCATCCAGCTCAGTTGGTAGAGCACAAAGCTCTTAACCTTGGGGTCGTGGGATCGAGTCCCACGGACGGTATTTCATAATTTGAAGGTCTCCTACGGAAGCTGCTCTCAACCTGGCGTTGGGGGTAACCTACTATCTTACCTCCCCCTTACCCTATTACATATGTGAATAAGGTCAGCTAATACTTTTAAAGTAAGTATCCATACTTTCGAATTAAAAAAAAACATTTCAAACGGTTAAGTTGTATATATTTTACCGTTTACATTACTGTCGAAACAGTATACATACTTTTAGAGTAAGTATGGATACATTATTATTAACCTTTAGAGTATCCATACTTTTAGAGTACATACATAGAAAAAATGCTAAAAAGGTTCAACATAGAATAGGTCAAGAGAGGATTTCTACCTATGAGGCATGGCATATTACTTTCGAAGAAAATGTGTCATTCCACTCCACAAGATAGAGAATAGATGAATAAGATTTTGTATGCTTCGACTATTGG